TCCCCCCTCCCAGGGAGTCCCAGAGTCCGGGCAAGGCAGGGCTCCTGTGCCTGCTCCCTTCCTGGTAAAGCCATGGGTTGGAGCTCAGCCTGAAGTGAGAGACGGGGTGAGGGCAGACACACCGCAGGTGCAGCCAGGACAAGGCTGCGTGGCGCCGAGGTCCCTGGGGTGGCAGACACCGTTCAGTGAGTCCCCGTCTCTGCGGTAAAGAAGGTGCCGGCTGGCAGGTCGGATAGAAACTTGTGCTTTAATAGATCTCTGTGTGAGTGTGGGCGTGAGTGTGCGCGTCTGCAGGGCCTCAGCGGGGCCTCTGTCCTTGTTCTCTGCTCATCCTCGCAGCCAACGGAGGCCCCTCCCTGTGGGCCGCCCCTGCCCCGGGCACCCCGGCTGGCAGAGGTCAGTCTTTGGTACGATGCAGACACTTTGGTGTGCCAGGGGCGGGGCGGGGGGCCGCGCAGCTCTCATCATCTCTGCAGCGCCAAGAGGAAGACGGCCAAGGGCCCCCAGAGCTGTGGGCGGGGCTGGTGGGGCACTCCACTGCCCGGCATCACCACCACTGTGACAGGAGAGAGGGAGACAGCCAGGCGCCAGTCAGTCTGGAGGACCAGGGAGCCGCAGGCAGGTGGGGGGCTGTGGGAGGGCCCGTTGCTTTCCCCCGCTCTCTGGGGACCTGAAGCAGACATTGCCCTCATGCACATAGACACACATCAGCACGGTCTTGAGGTGTGTGGTGTGGGAGTTAACTCAGCCTGCGGGGGTCCGGGTCCTGGCTCTGTGGCTAAGACATGGACGTTCACTGGACCTCAGCGGGCCTCAGTTTTCTCATCTGTAAAATGAGTCTAATAGGAAGAGCCACCCCAGAGGATTTCTTTGAGGATTGAATGAGCTCATGCGTGTACAGGTTTTTGTATCTTGCCTGGTACATAGCGATTGCTCAGTAAACCTGAGCTGTTATGACTGCAAACATCTGGCCCCCGGGGGGAGCACACGCTCACATCTGGACCCACACACACAGAGATACATGAAGACAGAAGCACAGGAGGCACTGCGGTACGAAGACAGCCAAGCACTCACAGGAGGGCAGGGTCTGGTCTAACTGTCCCACACACCCCACAGCCTGAGCCCGGCTGGAGCCTGTGTGTGCACCTCGTCACTGACACACACAGCTGTCACCCAGCCTCTCCGAACCCCCATTCAGACACAGACACTCTCCTCTCCCTGACACAGGTGCCCACCCCCAAAGTCTCCCCCAGATTCATCCACCTTTCAATCATCACCTTTATTGGGATCTATCTGCTTCCGGGGACATTCTCCCTTCTTCAGTGTGACATCGTCTATGGCGATATCTCCCAGGTAGCCTGAGCCTCGAACCCCCTCAAAAATAATCTGGGGTGGGGTCAGAGAGCAGGGAGCAGAGGTTAGGAAGGTTCTGCAAGACAGACTGCCCATCCCCACACCCTGCTGCTTTCCGCATCAGCTCCCAGGACTCCCAGGAACAACACGGGCCTTCAGAAGTGATTCCCACCCAGAGCACCCGTCAGGGGCTGGGAGTGCCTGTGAGGGGCTTGGGCCGGCAGACTCACCTGGAAGGGCCCGCTGGGGTTGATGGGCACGTGGGCCTGCTGCCACACGTTGCCCTTATTGCCACTGAGGGACCACGCGTGCGTGTCTAGGGCTCCTTTGTTCCGAGACCGGACCAGGAGGTTGAGGGAGCCTGCGGTGGGCGTGAAGAGAGGGGGCCAGTGAGGCCTGGACAAGGGCACCCTCCGCCCCCACCACTGCCCGCAGCACAGCCCCTGTCGGACGGGCCTTTCTCCCGTCACAGACTGGTTCGGTGGCGGGGCTAACAGGAAAGAGTGCCGTTCATCAGGCCAACCTGCAAATTTTCTTTCATTTCTCCCCTTCCTTCCCGATCAGCTAACCCCCCGCCTGCGACACACACACACACACACACACACACACACGCCCCTCCGCCCTCTCGACCGGGAACTGGTCCCAGGATGATGGGCCCACGTCTGCGCTCACAGCAGGATTCCAAAACACACCACGCATACCCATGATACATGGGATGATTTCTGGAGGTACAGCAACCAACTACAATTGTAATGCTTTTATATATGTTTTAAGATGTGAATAAAGCTAGCCCTTCGAATCTACAATTTCTCTAATAGTAATCGTGCTAAGAAAAAGGGAATGAGTTGGTCGAAAGAGAGACTAATAGATATGCCACACAGCTGTGGTAAAGAGTGAACGTAAAGTTTTGGAGGCACAATCTGTGGGTACTGAGTCCATCTGCCCACAGCCACAGGCCTGGAGTTCTGGAGGTGCTGGGGGACAGGGGAGGGCCATGGATTGGCTAAGAACACCCAGGCCATGTGGCGCCCCTCCCCGGCTCTCCCAGCCTACCCTGAGCCCCCAGTGACATAAAAGACCCGGCTCAGAGGGAAGAGGAGTGGACTCAGGCAGTGCAGGGTGGCTGGCATTTCCATAGAGCTGCCCACAGACAAAGCCACACCATCTGTGACACCAGACAGACAGACCCCCTGTGGGGAAGAGCCACCAAATGTTACCTGCTGAGATGAAAGGACTTGGCTTGGACCAAAAAGAGCCCTCGAAACACAAGGTCTGGGGACAGCTGGTGCCTAGAGCTGCCAGGTAGGGTGGGAGGGGAGGGCAGAGGAGGGACCAGGACAGCAAGAAACGCCCCTTTCCCCAGCAGCAGATCCAGGCCTGGGCAGGGGACCCTCGCCAGCAGATGGGGCCACGAGAGGGCTGCCACTAGCACCCAGTGGCCAGGGGGTGCCACACTGACTCCAGCAGGCTCAAGCCCTGTGCCTTCCGGGCTCCCCACCAGCCCCAAAGGGACCTCTTTCCCTCCCCCTTCCTGGAGATCTCCCCCTGTTCCTACCCCACTTGGGGTCCAGCCTCATTCATATCTTTTCTTCCTCTGCACCACCCTGTCCCAAGGACACTGATAGGGGAACCCCACTTTTCACTGTTCAAACAAAAATTGAATTTCTGCCCCCTCCCCTGAGCACCCCATTAGCTCCAAGATCTCCCTGCTCAGGGGCTTCCTGATGGAATTCACAGTGTCGACCTTCAAACCCCCTTAAGGGCGGGCCTGCTCACTGCGTTCTCCCCTGTGTTCCTCAGCCGAATGGGCCTGCATGGTGGAGCCTGGACATACGCCCGCTTTCCAGCCTCTGGGCTTTGCCTCGGCTGCTCCCACTGCTGAGATGCCCCTCCGGACCACATCCCCCTCGCCAAACCCTCCCTGTGCTTCCAGGTTTCTCTGAATGGTCACCTCCTCCCAGAAGTCTTCCCAGGCGTTGGCTGGGAGTTCTCTACGCTTCCTGGGAGCTCTGAGCCCTCAAACTGCAGCCCCCAGGCCCCGCCCGCTCTCCGCGCAGGGGCATGGCAGTTACTGGGAGTCCCATCTTCTCTTTCCTGTGACTCCTTGAGGGAAAGTCTGCATCCAATTGCTATTGGTTCTCAAGAATTAAATGTGAGAATTTTTCACAACTGTCATCAGGAGTGAAAGAGGACTTCCATGGGATCTCAGGATTCCAAGTTACCTCGGGGCTTATCATTCATTCAACTAATCAAGCACCACGATGTTCCAGGCACTATTCTAGGCACCAGAGATACGTCCGTGAGTAAGACAAGGACCCTGCCGTGCGCGCTCTCTTGGTGGCAAGCACTGGACAGAAAATAATTCAGAGGCTGCCAGGGACCTCTCTGAGGAAGCCTGCATGAGGTGACAGGAAGAAGGTTCCAGGCCAGAGGGACATCATAAGCAAAGGCTTCTAAGGCAGGAGGAACCCTCCCTGAATATTTAAAGAAATGCAAGGAGACCCGTGTGCTCAGCCCACGTGGTCGCCAGAGGAAGAGCAGGAGAAAATGAGGCCAGAGAAGCAGGCAGGGCCCAGTTAGGTATGGGAGGCCTGGGGAAGATGGAGGGGAGGGGACAGAGCCGGTAGTCGCACGGGATGGACAGGGGTCCCCTCCACAGCACCCCCGCGGACAATCTTCCTGTCCAGGGACAGGACAGCCCCCTCTTGCTGGGCACATCTGACGCTTACAGGGTCCTTTCAGCTAGAATCAAATCTGCCCCCAGAGGCTTCCCCTGACAGCTCGTTCCACGCCCTGGGGAACACGGACAAGTTCTGGAGCCCACACACCTGGCATCCCAGCTCCCAAGGCCTGGTTTCCCGGGGCCCCACTGCACCCCGCATGTTCCACCTCTTGGCAGCTGGGTCCCAGGCCCCTCCTGAGTTGGGGATAAAATGACCAACTCTCTGAATTTGCCTGGGATGTGGGATTTTCACTATAAAACTGGGAAAGACTTGGGCAAAGCAGAGTTGGTTTCATTGGTTACTCGAGCTGGGAAGCAAATGGAAACAGAGGGCTGGGCAGAGCAGCCCTGGTCACCCCAGCCCCGCCCCCCCACCTAGGGCAGAGCAGGCAGCCATGGTCACCCCCAACACACACACACACACCTAGGGCAGAGCAGGCAGCCCTGGTCAGTCCCCCCGCACCTACCCCAGAGGCTTCCCACAAAGCCCAGAGCCAGCCAGGGGCAAACTGGTCTGTGCGGATGGTCTGGGGCCCAGGGTACGAGGACCCTCCACCCCACCCCATTCCAGTTCACCCGTTCGTCTTGACCCGTCACGCGGGCTGTGGAGACTCCTCCATGGTGAGCCTTTAGGTCTACACTTGTTTAAAGTCTCTCCTCTACTGGGCAGCCTTGGAGAACAACTAAGTGTTCTGTGGCCTGGCGAGGCACGGCCACTGCAACGCACAGTTCAGAGGGAAAACAAGACTCGGACAGTGTAAAATTGGAGGTGGGGGGGGGGGCGCGGAATAAATGTGTACTGCTTCTATATGCGTGAAGTATCCCTGGGAATTTCCCCAAAAATCTAGGACAATGATTGCCTTTGGGGTGGGGCTACAGGGAGCAGGAGGACTGGGATGCGGGACTCTCATCATGCACCTTTTGTGCCTTTTGACCCATAGAGAATATGTCACCTCTCCCATAACTAAGGAAACAAGCAAACACATGAAATTCTTTAGGTTGTCAATTCCTCAGAGTCATCTATAACCAGGCCCGAGTCGGCCCCCAGCACCAGCGGCCTTGGCCCCTGTCCTTCTGCTGCGGACACGTGCACAGTGGCCACTAAATCGCATCTGGCGCAGTTAGCTGCTCAGTGTCTGTCTCTCTGACCTGACTGTGGTGCCCAGAGAACAGGGAGCGTGTCCAGGCGGTCACTGCAGCTCCTGGGGCCGGCACAGAGCCGTGCTCTGCGGCCAAGGCTGCGCAGACCAGCTCAGCGGTTCATGTGCCGCTCCTGCCGGTGCCACCTCTCCCTAAGGGACTCTCAGGTCACACCCACATCAGGAAGCAGACTTCCTCCCACGGCTCACAAAGCAGCACCCTCCCAGCTCTGTGTCTGGGGTCTGAGGGAGTCAGGCAGGTTTGGGCTGCTGTGTGGATGCTTAACCTCGCAGGCACCTCCCTCCCCGGGTGGTTGTGAGGGACGATGAGACCACAGATGCAGAGCACCTGGAATGTCACGTGGCACCTGGCAGACACTCGGTACAAGCGACCTCTTAGCTGTTTCCTCCATCCCCTCGTGACCCCACCTCATCCTGCTGGAGCCATTTCCCCCCGGACTCAGGCAGCCTGAGCATCTCAAAACCCCACACGAGCTGGCTCTGGACCCCCATTTGCGCAGATTCTGCCCACAACCCTCCAAGGATCTGGGATTCATCCACGTTGGGAAAGCCAGGCCCCATGTGGCAGTGCCTAGCCTCCTGGGGACCCCCTCTCCGCCCCCAGCCCCAACACACAGGGGCAGACTCCTGGTCTCCTGACTCACCGATGTGCTTCCCGTACATGTGGTAGAAGAAGGAGACGCAGTAGAACTTGGCGCTGGCGTTGTACAGGGGACTCACCAACCGCGCCCGGTCCCCCAGCTCCCGGGGCCTCGACGTCTCAATGAACATGTAGTAGCCTGTGGGGGAGGGGAGACACCAACAGCCTCCTCTTCACCCCACCCAGATCAGACCTCTCGCCTCCCGATTCCTTCTCTGCCATGGTTTCAGCTACAAACACCAGGGGCCTTGCCCAGCCCACCCGCCCTCCCAGCCTCTCAGCACGGGGTCTAGGCCAGCCTGCACGAGTCCTTAGCCTTGCTGAGGCTCTTCTTCCTGATCCTCTGTGCGGACAGGCTGTGTCTCCCTCAGACGGGGCCCCCTCAGGACAGGGCTGTGTCCCCGCTCAGATGGGGGCCCCCTCAGGACAGGGCTGTGTCCCCCCTCAGACTGGGGCTCCCTGAGGACAGGGCATGTCCCCGCTCAGATGGGGGCTCCCTCAGGACAGGGCTGTGTCCCCCCTCAGACTGGGGCTCCCTGAGGACAGGGCATGTCCCCGCTCAGATGGGGGCTCCCTCAGGACAGGGCTGTGTCCCCACTCAGATGGGGGCTCCCTCAGGACAGGGCTGGGTCCCCCTCAGACTGGGGCCCCCTGAGGACAGGGCTGTGTCCCCCCTAGATTGGGGCTCCCTGAGGGCAGGGCTGTGTCTCCCCCATTAGACTGGGCTCCCAGAGGCCAGACCCCTGACACAATCCTCATTCCTAGCAATAGGCCATGTCCTCACCCTCAGGGGTGCCGCTGACGTCAGTGGGGGGACCGGTATTGGGAGAGCGCTTGGGGTTCTGGGTTAGGGCGTTCTGCCGAGTCCAGTCAAAGTTGTCTGTCAGGTCCTGGGTGTAGCCACAGATCTTCTCATCCTCAAAGTGGCAGGTGTTGTCTGCACGGGGCGGGGAGTTGGGGGGAGACACAGAGGGTCGGCCTCCGGGGGTCCTCTGGTCCGGCTCTGCCTCCCTGCCACCCCGGGCAGCTCCCCAGCAGTGGGCCCAGGATCCCGAGGCTTGAGAAGCCAGGCAACAGGGCCCCTGGCTAACTGTGCCCAGATCAGGACTCCTTCGCCTTTTGTGCACCACAGACTTCCTGGAGCTAGTGCAGTCCAAGGACCCCATCTCGGAGTAACAATTTTAGATGCATAAAGTGAAATACAAAAGGTTGCACAGAAAATCAGTTATACTGAGAGTTGTCACATGTTTCTAAACAAACTTGTGTTACAATAAGTGGGCTTCTTCATTGTCTAATTAAATCAGGAGATCTGGTGTTCGGTCTAGTAACTGCCGTGGTTTTGAAAGGCTACTGGACGTAACTGGTATGGAGAGAGGGCTGCAACTTGAGGTGATTGATGTGCAAACCTCAGACTTCTGGGGACAGTCCCAGGTAGCGACCACACTACTGTGCTTGGCTGCCTACATTCCCCATCGAAGGTGATGTTACATTTCCGCTAGAAGTTGGGGAAAATAAAGGAGTGTGTGTCCGTCCAGGCTCCGGATCCACACACACCCCTAAATTCTGTACACAGATCCTTTGGGGGTCCATGGATCTCAGGTGAAGGATACCTGCTCCAGAGAACAGGAGACACGGGTGAGCCTGGACTTTCTTTTGGGGACAGTGAGGAGGAAGGTCCTGAGTTAGAGGTGTTCCCCAGCCCCACCCTTGTCCCCCTCCTTTAAGGCCCAGAATAAATCCTGGATGCAAACATGTCCAAGCCCAGCCCTGCTCCCTTCTGCTTCTCCTTCCAGCCGCTGGCCTCCATCCCACCTTCTCTCCGAGTATTTCTTCGGGTCCCTTCCTCCCACCAGGGGTGCTTTTGTGTCCCTAAGAAGGAAAAGTGGGTGGGAGTGTCTCACCTGACAGACTGGGAGAGTTGATAGCTGAGAAAGCAAGCAAGACAGCCAAGTCAGAACCGAGAGGGGCTCTGCAGAGGGGCCCGAGCTTCGGACCAGGGGCAGGGTCCCCGGGGCCAGGACTGGGAGCCAGAGGGGCCTGGCCTCAGTGACAGAGCAGGACACAGCACAGTGGTGGGGCCCATGCTCAGGGACCGTGTGGGAAGTGGGGAGGGGATCCCCTGGACACCAGATGGACCCGCCCTTCCCACTCCCACCACCACCACCTACGCTCTGTGTAGTGGATGATGCGGGAGGCCATGTCACCGGCCCCATAGGTGGTGTAGGGCGTGAGGCGGACCTCGTAGCTGTGGGGCACGCGGAGGTCGGTCAGCATGTACTCCAGCAGCTGCCCCTTCTCCACACGCCTCACGGGGATGGCCTTCACCATGGCGCTGTGCTGGTTCAACTGCAGGTACAGGGAGTTCCCATGCTAGGCAGGCCGTGCCCGCCACCAGAGCACCAGCCCAGGCCCTGGTGTGACTTTGGGGGTCAGGGTCAAGGAGTAGAAAGAGCAAAGGACTAGGAAGCCAGGCCCTCAGATCCCTCATCTGGGGAACAGAGCACTCACCCCTCAAGCCCACCTCCCAGGGCCGGCTTAATAACAAATAATAGCAACACACATTGAACACTTTAATGTGTGTGAGGCACTAAATACCTAACCTAATCCTCAAAATGATCCTATGAGGTAGAATATTGTAATTTTACCTTAAGCTTCTGATGTAAGAATAAAGTCTGAGTTTCATGAGCAGACCTGGCTCTGCCCCCTCCCCCTCCACGGACCCCTGCCCAGGTCTCAGGGCTGTGCCCAGAGCGTGGGTGCAGAGTGGGGGGTCAGTCCCCAGCACCTCCAGCTCCGCTGCTGTGTCCAGAACACTTCCTCCCTGGCACTGAAGACTTGTCTGTAAGAAGGGTCGGTGTGGCCCAGCCCCATCTCCACCCTCTCCCGGGCTCCATGAGCACCTCAGGGTCAGCTGACCCCCCCGGGGCCCCCAACCCCTTGGCCCACCTGGCGGACACTGAGTCTGTAGTTGAGCACGGGGTCGACGGCGTCAGGTTCCCTCTGGGTCCACTGCAGCACGTAGGAGTAGTTCTTGGACAGCTTGTGGCTGCGGGTGGGGTTGGGGGTGTCGAAGTAAAACTCCGGGCTGTAGGCTTTGGCTAAGAGGGCGGGGAGGGGGGCATGGGGCCATGGAGGGTGGGGAATGGGGAGAGACAAAGAGAGGAGGCATGGGAGGGGGAGACAGGACAGGGTGGGACAGAGAGATAAGATGGGGAGACAAAGAGAATATTGTGAGGAGAGGAGATGAGGGGATAGAGGGGTTTGGGGAGGATGAGGGTGGGTCGGAGGGAAGGTGGGAAATGGAGAAAAGGGAGATTGAATTTTCCAAGAGATGGCGTTGGTGAGAATGCAGTGGCAAGGCCAAGGTAAAGACAGAGCAGCGATTAGAGGAGACACAGGGAAGAGGATTGGGGGAAAGATGGGAAGAGAAGGGCCAAGGCATGGAGGTAGAAGGAAGAGAAGACACAGGAGAGAGACAGGCAAAACGGTGGGGAGACAGGGAAAGTGTGGGAGAACAGGGGAGAGGGGAGGAGGTGGGAAATGTCACAGGGGCCTCTGGCTGGGGGGCTGGGGAGCTGGGGAGGTGGCCAGTGGCCTGCGGTGTCAGCCCCCTGTCGTTGTGTGAGGGGATCCAAACAAGAGCTACAGGGGCACCCAGCCAGTCTGGGCTGCTGGGAGAGCTGGGAGTGCGGTGATAGGGGGGACAGGCATCCTGGGGTTCGCCGCACTGCTCCCAGCTCTGACAGGGAACCGGTTCTCCCCAGCGGAGGAGAGAGACGGTGGGCAACCGTGCCAGGACCTTTGGGTTCCCCTCGCCCCTCACCAAGACCTCCACCCCTCTCTGACCCTCCCACTTCCGTCTGCAGCCCCGTCAGCCCACCCAGGAATGGAGACGAGGAGGTGGGGCTGAGAGGGATGTCTGGGCTCCCAGGGGCTGGGAACGCTGGGGTGGTCGCTCAGGAAGGGTGTGCGGGCTGCCTCCACCACCCACGAGGTTCTAGGGACCCCGTGAGGGGCGGTTTCTCCCCCTTAGCTACAGCTCTGGCCCCTCACTTTGGGCCTGCGGTCAGGAAAAGAGTAGGTTCCCCACCCCCACCCCCAGCCCAACCTCCCTCTGTGGGACCAAGGACGAAGAAGGGGGGCTTGAACCCTGAGCCCTGACCTGTGTGTGTGTGTGG